CAACTTATATCTTTTAAAAATGCCTTGACTTCAAAATTTAAGTCTAAGGATATGTTACTTTGGAAAAGAGTTTTTCATTTATGTTTCTACAGAAAATGGAAAGCTATGGATTCCTTCCAGGCTTCTGTGGTTTGATGAACCAAGACCCCCGGAAGCAATGGCCCGAGTGATTCAACATCTAAAACAGCTAAGATGATACAGCTTTACAGATCACGAAAATAAGGGCTTTTACAGGTTTCTGAGTTTTGTCATGATCCCTATGGTATGAACAGCTCCCCCTTCCAGCACGAAGCAGTTTGGAATGAGCGACGTCCAAATCCCCATATTGTTTATAAATCTTTGTTTTCATTTGAATGGGGCTGCTTATAATTGGTTAATGATCCCAACCAATCTCTTTTTAAAGGAAAAAGGGGATTATGATATGGAAATGAATACTTTGTATTGGTATGGTTTTTCATTTATTGATAAATTCAAGGTCAATTTTGTGATGTGTATATTTCTCCTCTTGATTAAGTATTGTGTTTATAATAATCTTTTAAAACATAATGCATAATTAAGTACAGATTATAGATAGTTACTTATAATAGTCAGAACTTTTAGGTAGGTAAGTCAGGTTTTCTAGATATACAGAGATATATTTGAGATAGATAGTCTTCAAACCTTTCAAAGACCTTCAGAAAATGGCATTTAAAATGTTTTAGGGTTTTCTTGACAATGAGAAATGTCTGCTCCTGGCAGCACCAATTACGTCTGAGAGAAAGATGGGCATCGAAGAAACTCGTTATGGAGTTTGCTTTCAGCATGGCAAGATTAGCCATTTGGGCAAGAAACTGCTCTTGCCTGGACTACTTGACTGTTGCTGTATAAGCTGGACATGCAGGACCCACAGGAAAGTGACTGCTGAACTCAAACAGTCCTTCAGGGTTCCTGATTCATTAAAGAGTCTACAAGACTTTCTGCAGGACACAGAAAAATGACTGACAGACTGCTAATACAGATGGACATTGCTGTGGATCTTGGATCAGGTCCCTAGTCAATGCAAGTCCCTCTCTGCCCTGTCTCTGGAGTTTGTCAGTTTCCTCAGTGAGTGTGAGAGTCTGTTCCCTGATATGCTCAGGTTTCACCAGGCCTATGGTGTGTGGGAGTGGGGGTGGGGGATGACACACTGATGGCATGTCAGCATCTACAGAACAGAGAAGGGAATTATATAGAGCTGCCTTGACCCTGTGCAGGCACCTATGCTCCCCTCTTCCCTTCCCTCCAAATTGCATTTCCTGGAAAACTCCTACCTTCCTTGGTGGTAATATCACAGAGGTCTGTTGTGTAGCGAGCTGCCAGTGTGTTCGCAGCTACAGTGCTACCATATACTTCACAACGATCTAGGCTAAGGGCTAAGGATAAAAATAAAGACAAAGACAGCAGCTCATTCTTACAAGGAGAATGGCATTTATTATTACAAGGGTAGAATCTTATATACCAAAGTCAGGTATGGTGGAAAAAACACCAAGGTCAGAAGCCTACCTTCCCAGGAACCTCCAGCAAAAGGTGGGCCAAAAACAGGAATTAGCTTTTTAGACAATAAACAGGAACTTGCATGCAGGCCTTACTAGGAGGGGGGGCGAGAAGTATTTTACTAAAAGCTCCTAGTAACCAGCAGTCAACAGACCCCCATGGGGGAAGGGTACAACACTATTGTTTCTAAGTTAGGTCAGTGTCTCCAGCCCCCAGTCCTACTCAGAAGTCCATGTCAACTCTTTTTTAAATTAAATTAATTTTTTTTGAGAGCTGGTTTCTTTGTGTAGCCTTAGCTGTCCTGGAACTCACTCTATAGCCTAGGCTGGCCATGAACTCACAGAGATCCACCTGTCTCTGCCTCCTGAGTGCTGGGATTAAAGATGTGCTCCTCCACTGCCTGGCCCATTTAGACTCTTATGAAATGGAAATTTCCCTGTGGCCCATCAGTGCCAGGAGTCTGCTTCTTGTTCTTGCTCCCATGACAGTGGGGAGGCAGAGGCCAGCTATAAGCGCAGTGGCCATCCTGTCGGTATCCCCTGGTGCTGAATGCTACTCACACAGGAGAGAGCATGGGGAAGGTCCCGTGCCCAGTAGTCTCCTTGGGGTCACAGGATTAGAGACAGCCTGGACCTAGGGACATGTTATACCTTTTTTGTAAGTTGTTGTGTGTGTGTGTGCACCCATGTGGAGGCTATAGGGCAGCCTTGGCTGTTGTTCCTCAGATATTTTCCACCTGATGAAACGTAATGAGAATAAAAGTCCCCAACTAAGTCAAGGGAGTTTGCGATCAGAAGCTCAGACCCACGAGCAACTGCAACAGCATCACATTGGCAGCTGCTCCCTTAGCCCACAATGTAGGATGTGCTCCGGCTGTGGAATCCCAGAGCACAGGTGTGCCAATTAATTCTGCTTAACCAAATGCAGTCATTGTCTTCTCAAGGCCCTTCGTCCTCGAGATAACTTTGTATAAAAACTTAGTGTGCTAAGCAATCTTTGAACTATAAAAACTCTACTGAGACTTACAGCCTCAGGACTCCTCCTCCTCTCTTCTCAAGGCCTTCAAGTCTCTTGATAACCTCTGATATGCTAAGTAATCTCTGTAACCATGGGAACCCTGCGGATGGGACTTGCAACCTCCGGACTCCCCCCTCCCTTCCTGTTTTTCTTTAAAAGTGTCTTTTGTGGTTTGGGGCTTCAACTCTCCTGACAGAGTTGAGCCCCAGCTAGCTGGTTTTCTGGAAATAAACAGACCTTCTTGTACTTGCATTCGGTGTTGTCAAACTCCTTGAAGCTTTGGGGTCCTCTCTGAGTGGGCACAACACACCGTATATATGGAGTTAAGGTAATTGGCACTGTTTATTGAGGCACTGTAACTGGCTTGCCAAATAGACTAGGCAGGCTGGCCATCAACCTGTCTCCATCTTCCCAGCACTGGAATTACTAGCATATATCACCATGCCTAACTTTTGAGACCTGGGTTCTGGAGGACTGATCTCAGGGCCCTGTTGCTTGCACAATAAGCACCTTACTGGCTTCATCTCCCTGGCCTGTCAACTATCTGTAGACTGAGATCATCAGCCAGGAATACTCCAGGGCAAGGGCATCTGCCTGCGGTCACTTTCAGAGTGACAGAAGAGACACATCTCCCTCTGGTGCTCCAGGACCACAGAACCCTTATCCCAAGGCCCCTCCTTTTCCTGACTCCAGAGAGGTTACCCCACAGATTCCCAAGCTAGAGCAAGGCTTTGAAGGGCTAGAGAGATGGCTCAGTGGTTGAGAGCCCTTGTTCTTGCAGAGGGCGTGGGTTTAATTCCCAGTACCCATATTGTGGCTCACAACTGCCCTTGACTCCAATTCTAGGGGATCTGACAGTGTCTTCTGACTTCTGTGGGCACTAGGCATATACATGGTACATAGACACACATGCAAACAAAACATTCTTACACATAAAATAAGTAAATCTTTAAAAAGTGTTTTATTATTATTACTGCTATTATTATAAAGAAGAATGAGGCTGTGACTTACATGGACAGCTGGCCAGTGGGACCCACTTTGGGGACAAAAGCCCTCTGCTCATATTGTCAGGTGACCCAGTCAGCACAGCGCAGCTCTTAGCTCCACTCCAGACGTAAGCGTTGGGCCCTGCAGCGGTTTCTGAGACTGCCGCTTGAATCACAGACACTGAGAAAAAGCTACTGAAGTGGGGTGTGGGTGCCTAGAAACCTGTTCCAAGAAGGGGGCAAGGAAGTACAGGGAATCAACAAGCAGCCGGGGCGTGGAGGCGTTGCCACGCCGTGCTGCATTGGGCCTGTGGGAAGGTGCAACCGGGAGGACCTGTGCTCTTCCCACAGTGGAATCGGAGCGCCTGACAAGAGTTATGATTCGGAAACTTGGAGGAGGGGCTGGAGCTAGTGCTCTTGCTGAGGATCCAAGTTCGGTTCCTAGCAGCCACATGGTATGGTACCCACATCTCACAACTGCCTGTAACTCCAGTTCCAGGGGCCCCAACTGACCTCTGAGGGTCACGCATGTGTGTGGTGCCCATACATACACTTAGGCACACACACTGAAAGAAGAGGTGGGGGATGGAGGGAGGCAGGGAAGCCCAGACACAAGGAGTCGGTGAAACTGAAAGTTCAGGTCAGTAAAAGGTATCAGGGCCACCTAGAGTGCACGGACTGTGCTGACAACTGCATTCTCCTCAACAGCCAGTGTGTCTTGTTCTGCTAAACAGCAACTCAGGGGAAGCAGCTCATTCCCCTCTTTCTGGGTACCTTAGTGGTTCAGTGCAGGCTCCTGAACAAAGATGTTGACCAGACAGTGGCAAATGAGCTTATAAAGGAAAGAGAATTTTCTTTTTTTTCTTTTTTTGGTGTTTTCGAGACAGGGTTTCTCTGTATTGTTTTGGAGGCTGTCCTGGAACTCGCTTTGTAGACCAGGCTGGCCTCGAACTCACAGAAATCCTCCTGACTCTGCCTCCCGAGTGCTGGGATTAAAGGCATGAGCCACCAATGCCCAGCTTGAATTTTCTTTTTTCTAAACTTGGTGAAATGCACAAGGAGAAGGCAGAAGGAGGCCAGGTAAAGGTGACATATTCTTTTGGGACCACATGCCTTGATCCTGGCTAGATGACAGGATTGGAGCTGGTCAGAGAAGTTTCCGAGTAGGTGGAATTTCTGCACCTGGGCTGAGTGGGGTGGAGGGAGCAAGTGAACAAATGAGCAGGGCCAGCAGCCTCAGGGAGCAGCATTTGAAGGCCCACAGGCCCAGCCGACCAGGCTCACCGGGTCTCAACAGGGCGCCAACATCTGAGCAGGAGGGAGCTCCAGAAGAGGAGGCAGCAAGGTCACACTAGGAGGCCCTGACTGCAGCTTGGATGTCCCTGGTCCTGGGCAGACTTCCCTCCCCCGAGCCTGGCCATCCCACAGAACCCGCCCCGTCCCCGTCCCTGCCCGGCCGCGCCCCCACCCCCTCCAGTCTGAAGGAGAATGTGGAGCCTGCAGCTGAATTCTGAAAAAACCAGCCATTTCCAGGAACTGAAACTGAAAGCAGCTCTGGCTGCAGGCGCCGCCCCTCGGGGGAGGCTGGCAGAGCTACTGCCTACAAGTGAGGGGTTGAAACAAGGTCCAGAGTGGAGCAGGGTCTGAGAGGAAACCCAGGAGCTCAGGCTGCCCTTCAGCTTCCCCTCTTCGGTGCGCTCTTCCCAGGAGGCCCTCTGGCCTCGATCTCTTCCTCCTGACCATCTCGGACCTGGATTCCAGTTTTACAAGACTTCTGAGCAGGTAGGCGAGAGGCTCCTAAGGGCTGCTTAGCTTATTAACCAGTCTTGGGTCTGGTGTTTCTGTCAGGGATTGAGTGCAGGAGGCAGGGATCCTCCCTGACTGTCTTTGGACCCACACAGTACCTCGAGTTTTGGCTGTAGAGTTTTTCCAACTCACCAACAGACCGGGGCAACGTGCCCCTTTCTTACCTGCGTATCCCTGGTTTGTGGGTCTTCTGATGGGGCCTAGGTTAGAGAAAGCAGGTGGAGTTTCACTCAAATTCTCTGGGCCACTCTGTTGATGTTCCTTTGGGGCCAGAGTCTAGGGTCAGTACTTCCCACTGGCAATATTGGGGTGTCCTGGAATTATGTGTACTTCATGTGGAATACCCAGGGCCTAGGACTCCTGACTTGCATGGCTAGCTTCTTAAGTGATCTTTTTTTGTCTCTCTCAGTGGAGAAGCTGGCTCTTCAGCAGGGTGCCAGTGTTCATCTTTAGTCTTTCAGAAGACAGTATAACAAAACACAACTGGACAGAGCACAGCAATATAGAGCAGACCAATGCACAGTCACATAAACTGTGGGTGTGACTTTCTCATGCAGTTGTGAGGGTGCATTGCTTGTGTGTGTGTGTGTGCATGTGTGAGTAACTGTGTGCACAAACCAGTGTGCATGCTAGTGTCTATGTATTTGTGTGTGATTCAGAGGCTGGTGTTGGGGGTCAGGATGTCTTCCTCAGTCACTCTCCCCTTTATTTTATTTTATTTTTTTGAAATAGAATCTGTCTATGAACCTTTTGGCTATGCTGGCTAGCCAGCAAGCCCCCCCTGGGATCCTTCTATCTCTACATCTCCAGTGTGGGTGTTTTAGTTAGACATGAGCTCTTTCATCTGGCTGATTTTAGGTGGGTGCTGGGGTTTCAAACTCACATCCTTTTGCTTGTGAGGCAAGCACTTTCCTCATTGAGCCCTCTCTCTTATCCTCTTCCCCTAGAGTATTTAAAGAGATCTGGATCCCTATGGAGGATTATGGTCAGGGTTAGACCAGTCAGAAGAATGATCAGGAACTACCTTGTGTAATTCAAGACTTCTTTCTCTTCTTATTTCTCCCTCCCTCCCCCCTCCTCCCCCCCTTCCTTCCTTTCTTGCTTCTTTCAAACAGTTCGAGGAGGCTTTTTATTTATGTATTTTACATCTCTAGGAAAAGAATCCCAGGATTTTCTCTCCTGTATGTTTTTGTCTTGCTTTTTCATGGTCTATGAAGGCTGAGGTTGTCAGTAAAATGAAGCCAAACTGATGGGTTGGGAACAGATTGTTTGGCCTTTTTTCTCCCTAGGTCTTTGAGTTGTACATCAAATTCAACCTGTCTATGAGGTTCACAACAAATTTCCCAGCTCTGTGATCATCAGTGACTTAAGATTTACCAGTGTGACCATCTTCATCATCAGTTAGGAACAGAATGGTGATTTAGAGCAGGGCCTGAGGGGGACCTGGCATTTGCCTCTCTTCTTAGCACTGTTGATGCTTTTGAGAGCATCTGCCGGGGCATTCATGTGCACCATGGCAACGGTGTGGAAAGGCAGAAAGAGCTCCTTGTTTGTTTCTAAGAATATATTTCTCCATCTGTAATATCACTTTTGATATTACAGGTGTTGCAATATCACTTTTCTGATAGGTTCTGAAGAAGATCATTAAGGCCCACCAACATAGACCTTCACACTGCATGAAGTTGAAGGGAGAAGGAAGAAGCAGAGGAGCACCAACCCAGAGATCTGAGTTGAGACTAAGGAGCCTTCACCCAGACAGCAGAGAGCTGTGAGGAGAGCATCCCATGGATTCAGTCATGATGTGGCCACCCAGGCTCTGGAAGGTGGGTTGCACGCTTGCCCAATGCATGGTAAGAAAACTGAGACTTCAGAACCTTGTCTGGTTTGTAAGGAGCAGGGTGAATCTTCAAACACAGCTGATCCCTTCCATGTGAAGCTCATGTTCAGGCCCAAAGACTGCTGTGTAAGAAGCAGCAGCAAGTGCTTGGGAGGACAGTGGGACCCATCCCAGGAGGGGAGCAAGGGGAGGAAGTGCCAGGAAAGGATTGAGAGGAGGGTCCATCCCAGGAAAGGAGAAAGGGAGAAGCCACCCCTGGAGGGGGGTGGGGCCACCAAAGGAAACTCACATCACTCCGAAGCTGTACCTGGAACTGGCCCCACAGGTGGAACAGTAGGCCTTATACGGCAAACACTTGGGCACTTCAGCATTAGGACAGCAAGTGTTCAGTTGCTTCACGGGATCCCAAGGGGTGGGTCTGGCTGGGAGCTCTTCATGATATACACTGTGTGGATTAAAGAGGTGGTCTTGAGGGCTGGGTGGTGGTAGTGCGTGACTTTAAGTCCTACACTTGGAAGGCAGAGGCAGGCAGATCTCTGTGAGTTCAATGCCAGCCTGGTCTACAGATTGAGTTCCAGGACAGCTAATGGTGTTACACAGAGAAACCTTGTCTTGAAAACAAACAAATAAACAACAACAACAATAGAATAAAAGAAAGAAAGAAAGAAAAGAGATGGTCTTGAGTTTTGATGTTTTTGTTTGTTTGTTTACTTTCTTGTTTAATTTTGAGACAGGGTTTCTCTGTGTAGGCCTGACTGTTCTGGAACTCAGAGATCTGCCTGCCTCTGCAGGGATGAAGGGCATTTACCACTACATCTGACTGAGTTGGTGATATACACAGAAAGGATTAGATTTTCTTTCTTTCTTCCTTTTTTTTTCTTTTTTTGAGAGAGGGTCTCAAGTAGTTCAGGCTAGCTTCAAACTTTCAAACTTGCTGTGTAGTTGAGTATGCCCTTAATTTTCTTATCCTCCTGCCTCCAACTCCCAGATGCTGGGAATACGTGTGTATGACATCATGTCCAGTTACTATGGCATGCGGGATTGGCCCCAGGGCTGCATACATGCTAGGCAAACACTCTCACCAACTGAGAACACCCAAGCTTCTTGTGCTTAATTTTTAAAACATTGGTGGTGATGCACCAAGAAGAGTTTTGATTTCTAAGCAATTCCTCCTTTTTTCCCCCTTTAAAGGAAATAAGAGCTGGTGTATTCTGGAGCCATTTTGAGTTATCATGGCCCAAGAATAAAGATTTAGGTTACCACACATTCATGTTATACCATGGAAGCTTCGTGAAGTTTCTTTTTTTATAGTTTTATAGAACAAAAAATAAAAGTCATAGATCAAGGTAAATTTAAAGTACATTGGTGGGGACATCAGAGAGGCAGCTACAACAAGATAGGGAAAGCTTTTCTATGATGTTGAATACAAGCCACTAGGTCTCCCCACCCAACTCTCATCACAACCCTGACTCACAAATGCTTCAATCTCGTGGTAAGAATATTCAGCCAGCCCCTGGTTACAGAATAGTCTGGATCCTCATATTAGTACCAATGCCACCACATAGGGACACACAAATCTTGCTGCTTATTAAGAATCAGTAGGTTTGGGCTGGAGAGATGACCCAGCAGTTAAGCACACTGGCTGCTCTTGCAGAAGACCTGGTTTCAATTCCCAGCACCCACGTTGTGGCTCAAAACTATCTGTAACTTCCCTCTCAGGGGATCTGACACCCTCTTCCAGCTTCCGAGGACAGGAGGCACACACATGGTATACAGACATATATGCAGGAAAAATATGCATGTATAAAAAAAATCTAAAATCAAACAGACAAAAAGACCTGAATCATTAGGTTATTTGGGAAGTTTGGTTTGAGCTGTCTGCTGAAATTGATGGGTTTCAAGTGTTTCCTGTGCAGGGAGTTACTGATGAATGGTATCCAAATTTCCATAATATGACTAGAAATAACAAATTTCGTTGGGCTGGGGAGATGGTTCAGTCAATAGAGTGCATGAGAACCTGAGTTCAATCCTCAGAACCCACATGAGAAAAGCTGGGCATAGGCCCACGACTTTAATCCCAACATTCAGTGGAGCAGAGGCAGGTGAATCTCTGTGACTTTAATCCCAACATTCAGTAGAGCAGAGGCAGGTGAATCTCTGTGACTTTAATCCCAACATTCAGTGGAGCAGAGGCAGGTGAATTTCTGTGAGTTTAAGACCAGCTGGGTCTACAGAATGAGTTCCAGCACAGCCAGAGCTATACAGTGAGACTCTGTTTAGAGAAAAACAAAAAACAGAGCAAAACAAGTAACACAAAAAGCATACGTATGGCAAAATGGATTTGTTTTTTTTTTTAAGATTTATTTATTATTACATATACAGTTTTCTGCCAGAAGAGGGCACCAGATTGAATTATAGATGGTTGTGAGCCACCATGTGGTTGCTGGGAATTGAACTCAGGACCTCTGGAAGAACAGTCAGGGCTCTTAACCTCTGAGCCACCTCTCCAGCCCCCGGCAAAATGGATTTGTAATCCTAGTGCTGGAAGATCTCTGGGACTCCCTGGCCAACCAATCTAACCTAATCAACGAACCACAGGTTCCAGTGAGAGACCATCTTGACAAAGGCTAGAGAGAAGGAGCAGTGGTTAAGAGCACTGGCTACTGTTCCAGAGGATCAGGGTCCAATTCCCAGCACCCATGAAAGCAGCTCACAACCACGTATAACTCCAATTCCAGCAAAGCCAACACTCTTTTCTGGCCTCCTAAAGTGTCAGACACACATGTAGCACATATATACACATAGGCAAAACAGCCATACACATTAAAGTAAAATAGTTTAACAACAAACAAGAAGAGAGGACTCCTCAGAAATAACACTTAAGATTGATCCTTGGCCTACCCCACCCCCCACGCAATACATACATGCACATGTGCGCAATGCAGACACATACAAACACAAAATTAATCTTTGCTTTGGAGGCAAGGTCTCACTATGTAGTTCTAGTTGGCCTGGAACTCGCTGTGTAGGCCAGACTGGCCTGCTGAAACTTGCAGAGATTCACCTGCCTCTGCCTCATGAGAGCTGGGGTTCTAGGCGAGCACCACCACAGCAGGCTGAATATTTGACTCTTAAGGAGAAGCACAGTGAATGGCTGGCTGTGGAGAGCTGGCTTTTGTACGGGTCAGACCTGCCTACCCACTTTCCCACCAAGGGACCCAGCTCATATCCATCCTGCAGCACTGGTTCAAGCATCTGCAGTGCATCTGTGGGTATGCCCTGTGAAGGGCTGTGCGGCTGCAGAGCAACCCCATCCCGGAGGACGGTGCCACACTCTGTTCAAGTGAGGTGCCTTTGCTGTCTCAGTGGCAGATCTGAAACCCATGGCTGGGGTGTGTGACTTCTGTGGATTCCTGTGTCATCCTGTGTATTCTTGTCTCCTTCAGGGTTTTCTATCCTTCATATACGTGGTAAAATCCTTCTTCATTCCATCGTCTAAATCCATCACTGCCAGTGAATCTTTCTATACCAATCAAATCCTTTACTCTCAAGAAGTCAATGAGAGAATTGCTCAGGCAGTGAAAGAGGGGAACCTGTGGAATGTGATCTCTATGGTCAGAAATATAATAATGCAGCGTAAGTCTAGCAACCCAGTAAAAATTGTTGTGACTGGAGACTCCGGCAACGGCATGTCATCCTTCATCAATGCCCTTAGGCTCATTGGACATGAGGAGGAGGATTCAGCTCCCACTGGGGTTGTGAGGACCACCCAGAAACCAGCCCTTTACTTCTCTTCTGAGTTTCCCAATGTGGAGTTGTGGGACCTGCCTGGCACAGGGGTCACATCCCAGAGCATGGAGAACTACCTGGAGGGGATGGAGTTTGACAAATGTGACCTTATCATAATCATTGCTTCTGAGCAGTTCAGCTCGAATCATGTGAACCTGGCCAAAGCCATGCAGAGGATGAGAAGGAGGTTCTATATCGTCTGGACAAAGCTGGACAGGGACCTCAGCTCAAGTCCCCTCTCAGAACCCCAGCTACTGCAGAATATCCAAAAGAATATCTTGGAGAACCTCCAGAAGGAGGGGGTGATGGAGCCCCCCATATTCTTGGTATCCAACTTTGAGCCTTTGTCACATGACTTCCCAAAGCTTAGAGACACCCTGACAAAAGACATCTCTAACATCAGGTACACAGATTCCTTAGAGACCCTTTCTGGCATCTGTGACAAGAACATCGACCACAAGGCCTTCTCTCTGAAGGAAAACCTGCACTCAGAGCACCTGCAGATGACTGTGAGCTACTGTGGTACTGCTGACCTCCAGGAGAGTTTTAAAACCTACCAGAAGTCCTTTGGTGTGGATGATGGGTCACTTCAGCAGTTGGCTCAAAGGACAGGGACATTGGAGATGGGTCACAGGGCCATGCAGTTCCAGGACTTGCACAAGATGGATTGGAGGCTGAGACTCTTGATGAGTTTTCCCGTGTACACGTTCTTCAAGCTTCTTGCATACCGGTGCTGGTTTGGCTTGTGGAACTTTGTTGTCCGTAAATTCAGACACCAGAGACAGAGGCTCATCATTGAAGTAGTTGCTCAGGACACCAAGAACTTCTTGAGGAGAGCCCTGAAGGACAACACCTTCCCTACTGAAGTCCTTTGAGGAGGGTCTGGTTTACCTTCAAGTGAAATTCAGGCTGCCTCAGGGTATTCTTTTTTCTTAAGGCCCTAGCCATCCACCAGAAATCAAGAACTATGGCAACTCTTTGTAACAAGACTTAGTATTGTTAGAGAAGTTAAGGAATCACTCATCTTCCTACGCTCAACTCTAATACCCTGTTCCTTCAAAGAACAAGTATCTGCCAAGATAATCAGCCATGTTTTCCTAGCTCATCATACAGCTTTGATGCTTTCAGTTTTCGTGCATGTTTAAATCAAATGGTCCCCTCCAAACAATTAAAGTTGCTTTCATTACTACTGTTTTATTCTTATCTTTCCCTAGATACCCCTGGTGGTGCCTCATCTGGCACAGGATGGCACTTAAAAATTTGGAGGGTGGAGAGGATGGTAGAAATTGTACCTTAAAATGTCCTGCGTGTTGGGGCTGTGTGGGCATGTGTGAATGCATGTGTGTACATGTGTGAGTATATGTGTGAGTGCATGAGTGTGGTTGCATGCATACCACAGCATGTGGAGTTTGTTTTGTCCTGCAGCTTCTAGATTCTGGGGATTGAAGTCAAGTTGTCAGGCTTGTTGGCAAGCATTTCCTGCTGAGCCATATTGATGACCTTGTTGCTAAACAGTTATCAGTGTTCAAGGAGATCACCAAGGGTATTGATCCTGTCCCAGCACAAAAAAGAGTGACTTCCTCAAGGTCCAGACATCAAAGTCCTTATATATTTTCTTGTGCTACAACAAAGTCCGTCAGGATATAGGCTTGGGCAATAGGGAAAGATAGCAACACAGGAGGTTCTACCCCTGACCCTCTGCAGATTAAGTTACCAGGCAACACAGGAGGCTCTACCTCTCCCACTGACCTTTTGCCCTGACAGCTTCCTTGCAGCTGTGGTCATCACCCCCATTCCCTCCACTCCTCACATCCTCCTACAGCCCTTAAAAACCCCTTGGAAAGAATAAAGTTTTGTCACCTTGATCAGAAACTTGTCTTGCTGTCCTTCCTCATATCTCTTGTCCTTCATCTCTCTCCTAGGTGTCCCCCAGACCCACGTTGAATGTCTCACGGGTCGGGATGTTTGTTCTGGATCCTGGTAGTTCCCAGTGGGTGACCCAAGTTGGTGAGGCCATCACAATGGCAGGAGCTCATGTGGAAGAGACCAGAACATAAAAGATCCAGGGGCCAGGCTCTTTTTTTATTTAAATTAGAAACATGCTTGCTTCACATGTCAATCTCAGCTCCCTCTCCCTCCTTTCCTCCCTTGTCCTTCCACCATCCCCCAGTCCCCCACCCAATCCCCACACCATTCCCCGGGGAGGGTGAAGCCTTCCATGGGGGATCTCCAGAGTCTTGTCATTTCATCCAGGGCAGGACCTAGGCCCTTCCCCACATGTCCAGGCTGAGACAGCATCCCTCCATCTGGAATGGGCTCCCAAAGTTCATTTGTAGGCCCTGGTAAACACTGATCTACTACCCAAGGCCCCAGAGATTGCCGAGGCCTCCTCACTGATACTACATTCAGTGGGTCTGGATCAGTTCCCTGCTGGCCTCTCAGCCATCAGTCTGGGGTTCAAGAGCTCCCCCTTGTCTGGTCTGCTGTCTTTGTGGGTTTCACCAGCACGGTCTTGACCCCTTTGCTCATCACTCTTCCATCTCTGTCACTGGGTTCCAGGAGTTCAGTTCAGTGTTTAGCTGGGAGTATCTGCATCTGCTTCGATCAGTCCCTGGATGAAGGTTCTAGGATGGCATATAGGATAGTTCATCAACCCTATCATCAAGGAGGGGCTATTAGTGTAGTCTCTCCACTATTGTTTAGTTTGCCAGTCGGTGTTAATCCTTGTAGATCTCTGGAAATCTCACTAGTGTCAGTTCTCTCCTCAAACCTATAATGACTTCCTCTATTATGGTATTTCTCATCCTGTTCTATTCTTACCCCGACTCAAACTTCCTGCTCCCCCATGTCTTCCTCTCCACTCCTCTTCTCTCCCTCTCTTTTTCCCGGTTCCCTCTCTCCTTCCCCCCATGTTCTCAATCTGCTCAGGAGATCTTGCCTCATTCCACTTCTCTGGGGTATCATGCATATCTCTCGGGAACCTCCCTGTTTCCCAAACTCACTGGCAATGGGATTGTAGGCTGACATTCCCCTGATCCATGTCTAAAATCCATATATGAGAGAGTACATGCCATGTTTCTCTTTTTGTGACTGGGTTACCTCACTCAGAATGGTTTCTTCTAGTGTCATCCATTTGCCTGCAAATTTCAGGATTCCATTGTTTTTTTCCGCTGAATAGTACTCCATTGTGTAAATGTACCACATTTTCTCTATCCACTCTTCAGTTGTGGGATATCTAGGTTGCTTCCAGGATCTGGCTATTACAAATAATGCTGCTATGAACATAGTGGAACAGATATCTTTGTTGTAGGAATGGGCATCTTTTGGGTATATGCCTAAGAGTGGAATTGCTGGGTCTTGTGGTAGACTGAGTCCTATTTTCCTGAGGAATATCTATACTGATTTCCAAAGTGGCTGTCCAAGTTTGCACTCCCACCAGCAATGGACGAATGTTCCTTTTTCTCCACATCTTCTCCAGCATAAACTGTCATTGGTGTTTTTGATTTTACCAATTCTGACAGGAGTAAGATGGTATCTCAGAGTTGCTTTGATTTGCATTTCCCTAATGGCTAAGGATGTTGAGCACTTTCTTAAGTGTTTCTTGGCCATTTTAGACTTCTCTATTGAGAATTCTCTATTTAGTTCTGTACCCCACTTTTTAATTGGATCCTTTGGTGTTTTGGAGACTTGCTTCTTGAGTTCTTTGTAAATTTTGGAGATCAGCCCTCTGTCAGATGTGGGCTTAGTGAATATCTTTTTCCATTCTGTGGGCTGCTTTTTTGTCTTGTAGGCTGTGTCCTGTGCCTTACAGAAGCTACTCAGTTTCAGGAGGTCCCATTTATTAATTTTCGATCTCAGTGCCTGTGCTATTGGTGTTATGTTCAGGAAGTGGTCTCCTGTATCAATTCGTTCAAGAGTACCTCTCACTTTCTCTTCTAAGAGGTTCAGTGTGGTTAGATTTATGTTGAGGTCTTTGATTCATTTGGACTTAAGTTTTGTGCATGGCGATAGCATAGACATGGATCTATCTTCAGTCTTCTACATGACAATATCCAGTTATGCCAGCACCATTTGTTGAAGATGCTACCTTTTTTCCATTGTATAATTTTAGCTTCTTTGTTGAAAATCAGGTGTTCATAGGTTTGTGGGTTAATATCAGGATGTTCAATTTGATTCCATTGGTCTACCTGTCTATTTTTGTGCCAATACCACGCTGTTTTCGGGACTATAGCTCTATAATAGAGCTTGAAGTCAGGGATGGTGATGCCTCCAGACGTTGCTTTGTTGAGTAGGATTGTCTTGGCTATCCTGGATCTTTTGTTTTTCCATATAAAGTTGAGAATTGTTCTTTCAAGGTCCGTGAAGAATTGTGCTGGAATTTTAATGGGGATTGCATTGAGTCTGTAGATTGCTTTTGGCAGGATTGCCATTTTTACTATGTTGATCCTACCTTTCCAAGAGCATGAGAGATCTTTCCATTTTCTGGTGTCTTCTTTAATTTCTTTCTTTAAAGACTCAAAGTTCTTGCGATACAGGTCTTTCACTTGTTTAGTTAGTGTTACCCCAAGTTATTTTATGGCGTTTGTGGCAATTGTAAAGGATGATGTTTCTCTGATTTCTTTCTCAGCCATTTTATTGTCTTGTATATAGTAGGGCTACTAATTTTCTTGAGTTGATCTTGTATCCTGCCACTTTGCTGAAGGTGTGTATTAGCTGTAAGAGTTCCCTGGTAGAGTTTTTTGGGTCACTTATGTAAACTATCATATCATCTTCAAATAGTGAAAGTTTGACTTCTTCTTTTCCAATCTGTATACCCTTGATCTCCTTTTGTTGTCTTATTGCTCTAGCTAGAACTTCAAGTACAATATTGAAGAGGTATGAGGACAGGGGACAGCTTTGTCTTGTTCCTGATTTTAGAGGAATTGCCTTGAGTTTCTCTCCATTCAGTTTGATGTTGACTGTTGGT